GCTCAGAGCAATTTTGAGAAGAGCTAGCTGAGATGATCCAGTCTCAAAGACTACTTGAATAAGGATTTGAGATAAACCCTGAATTTTGGCATTATACACAGACTGGATAACGAAGGATATATTTACCTTTCCTAGAATTTGACAATTAACCTAAAATTTTTCTTTCAGGATAAAGATACCTTCGCCCATACCCAGCAGGAAGCAATTTCAAGAATACGACGCCCACATTCCCAAAGAGGTGGTGTGGGGCGGTTGGTTTTTTTGGTCTTTTAATGGGTTTTGGGTCTGGGATAATTTTCATTGATTAGGGGGGTTGGTTACAAGTTGTTGTCAAGGGTTAGGAAAAAGGCTAAGCAAAGGAGATTAGATTTAAGGTTCTTATTTAAAAAAAAAAAAGAAAGAAAGAAAAGAAAAATGTAAATACTTTACATTGGATTGGATTGTTTTATATTGTATACAAATTATATATATTGAAATTGATATTGTTAGAAAATGTTATATATATTTTTCTAATTGTACCGTTCATCTAACAATGTAATGCAATTTTCTGATCCTTGAATGTTATTACCAACTATTAGGATATAAAGAAATGAAAGTTAGTAGTTAGATATTATAATAGAACTTGTAGTTATATTAGGTATGTTTTCAAGATTGAGTAGATATATTTTAGATAGACAGGTTATCTTCAAACCCTTCAGAGATCTACAGAATATGGCATTTAAAATGTTTTAATAACTTAGAAAATTTTTCTTTTTTGTTATGACTATGAGACATGTCGGCTCCTGGCAGTACCAATCTACTTCAGAGAAAATATGGGCATTGAAGAAACTGCATATGGAGTTAACTTTCATTGTGGCAAAAGTTAGCTACTGGACAACAAAGTATCCTCGAATCAACAGGACAAAATGGACAAACAGGACATAAAACAAAGGATTACTGATTCTTGCCAAAACAAGTGTGGTTATGGCTTTATCAAAAGGCATCTTCAGAGGCCAGGACAATATGGCACCATCCCTGAAGTGGCCTTCGCAATTCGAAAAAGGTACAGTGCCCTTTTCTTCGAAGGCAGCTGAACAGGCAGTGGGCCGATGGCCTCTGATGTGCAATGGAACAGCAGCTGAAACAGTTATTCTTGAAGAGTAACTAAGCTCACGCCTCTCAATAGTAGACTGGCATTTGATGGAGGGATATGGAGAAGAATGGGATGCTGAGATGAAGCCATATATACACAGCCAGGAAGAATGGACAGCTGAGTTGGAAAACCATCAGCAATTTCCAGAATTTGAAATCCTGAATCATGACATGACACTGGTGGAATTCAGGTGTTTCTGGTACATGGACTACTCTCACTCAATGTGAGGTTGAACTGTTGACCTTGTGTACATCCTGCTTCACAAATGAGTCTGTCGGATATGCTGGGCCTATAGGCTGAAGATGATGCCCCAGCACTTCGGAGAAACCTCAGGTGACTGTCCAGACAGCTGTCTGTTTCTGTCAACTCACAAATTTTTTGGAGGTTGCTTATGTGCACTTCCTGTTTTTATTTTTGTTAGCTAATATTATTTCCTTCTTGGGTCTCTGAGGGAGTTGAAGATTAGTTAGTTATAGTTGAAGGTTAGTTAGTTATAGTTGAAGATTAATTAGGATACATTTTGGACTTACCAAAATAGGATAGATAATGAAATTATTTTCTCTGAATTTGTCAAATACAAATGGACTAGACATTGTTTAGGTATTTATTACTTGTATATATTGTATATAGTTATTGTCCTTTTGTATATAGTTTTTCTTATATTAGTTATAAGCTTTTTCTTTTTTTTCCTTTTTATTAAAATAGAAAAGGGGAAATATGGTGATATTTTATTTGTATTAAAATGTTATTTGTATGTTAATAAATAAAGTTGCCCGGGGGTCAGAGCTATTAGCAAGCCATAGGAAAGCAGGGCAGTGGTAGCGTACGCTTGTAATTCCAGCACTTAGTAGGCAGAGCTAGGTAAGTCTCTGTGTGTTCAGGGATACAGCCATTATTGGATACACATGCCTTTAATCTTAATACCAATCATGGAAAACCTGGAGGGCTATACAGACAGGCTGTGAGGAGGCGGTCATGTGGTTGGGTTTACAACCAATGAGAAGGCAGGACAGGAACTCTATATAAAGACTTTAACACAGGGGTAGCTCTGGTTCGGAGAGGTAGGACCACCGCAGGAGGAAGGGTAAGGTTTTGGCTCTTGGCTCTGACCTCTTGGCTTTCTTCTTTGCATTGGTTCTGTGTTTATTGTTTGATGGGAAGGTTGGATACATCTACAATGGTCCAAGTACCAATATCATTGGTATCATTTGAGATAGGTTATGTCCAACCTCAAGCCTCACATTATATCCCATGCTGACCTTAAACTCACTGTGAAAGCCCAGGCTTTCCTCCAACTCATTTTTAAGCCTAAGTCTAAGTCTAAGCCTAAGCCTAAACCTTCCTATTGCTGGAATTACAGGAATGCACCACTATGCTAGTCTAAAAACATTGTCCTTTTTGTTTATTTGGTTTTTTCTTTTGCAGTACTTGGGATCAAACCAAAGTCTCACATGCTGGCAAGAATGTTACTGTTTCTTCCCTCGACTATATGTACATAAACCCCTCTGGGCTATGGAATATTTTATTTTTATAACTTATTTTATATTTATGCTATAGTGTGTTTTTCAATACATGTATATTATATGTAATAATCAGATAAATACAATTAACATTTCAAATCCAGGTATACATCTAGAATCTCAGCAGGATCAGAAGGAAGGTCAAGATCATCTTCAACTATATATTGAGTTTAAGAGTAGCCTGGGCTATGTGAGACCCTGTTCCAAAAACAAAAACAAAGATAATTAGAATTTCTATGTCTGCTGGGGAGGTCTTTCTGTATGCTGTGAATGTGTGTTGCTCTGATTTTGTTGATAAATAAAACGCTGATTAGACAGTATCCAGGCAGGAAGTAGAGTATAGGCAGGATAAGCAGAGAGGAGAATTCTGAGTCAGGAGTTGCCAGCCAGACACAGAGGAAGCAAGATGTGAAGGCAGAACTGAGAAAAGGTACCAAGCCACATGGCTAAACATGGCTAAATAAGAATTATGGGTTAGTTTAAATGTAAGAGCTAGTCAGTGGTAGGCCTGAGCTAATGGCTGAGCAGTTTTAATTAATATAAGCTTCTGAGTGATTATTTTATAAGCAGCTTTGGGGTCTGTGGGGCTGGGCAGGACCAGAGAAAACTTCAGCTACATATGTCTTTAAACATTTATTGTTTCTTTGTATGACAGTTAATTTTTTTAAAAGATAAGATCTCCCATATCCCTCCACTACATAGCAAATTATCCACCAGCCTGAGTTACCTCCCCCTACCCTGCACAGAAAACAAATTTCCTCTTCCTCACAGATGCTCAGTTGATAGATACCAATAAGGAAATAAAATGTAATGTTGGAATTATCTTTTCTTCAATTGACTGGATTCTTAATCAGGAAAAAAATATGAATTGGTGGATACAATATTTTGCAATATATCAGATTTTTGTAACAACATACAGGAAATCCCAAAGACAGTGAAAAGGATAGAGATTCATAAAAGCAGAGAATCCTGAAGGGTCTACTTAGCAACATCTAGTATGCCTTTAAAAAGACATCCAGTATCCTTTTATCTACTATTCAGTGTTTCATAATTTGTATAGACATTAGAGCAATCTGTTGATATCTAATACAGATATTAGAGTAATGCTGAGTTTATTAAACATTCTCTGGCAAGACAGTGCTGAACTGCCTCAAACTGGGAAATTTGAGAAAGGATGTTTACAGGACATTTGGGGAGGAGTTAGAGCTTGCATAGATGATTTTTAGGCTGGGACTTGCTACAGATTGGGTAGGGTTTATGATATAATAGTTTTGGGTTGCTGAGCATGGTAACAATAATGATCTTGAAGTATATTAATCTTGATTAGTTGATTGGTTCTTCAAGAGAAAGGATTACTTAGAGTGGCTAAAAATTTAAGCCTAGTGCAAGTCTAAGAAAAAGAAGCTGTGCTTGATGTCAGTATTATTTTAAAAATGAAACAGGGAAGCATACCTATTCTGCTGGTGTGGTGGCATACATCGGTAAGCCTAGCACTTGGGAGAAGATGAAGGAGGATCAGGAATTTGAGGCTAAGATCAGCCTAGACTACATGTGATCCCATCTCAAAAAATATGCTGTTCTCAGAAATGCTTAATGCAAGAAGAGGAAATTATGCTATTATGTTCTTGTTAAGCAGTGTGCCATACCTAGCTGTTTCTATAGCTTGCTCTGTTTGCCTAATTTCTGGAAAAAAAATCTAATTTTTTTTTGCAGCTTTAATGATATATAATTGATAATGCTGGAACTTTCAATACCTGAACACACTCCATTCCAAAATGGCTTCCACTGAGAACCCGAGGGCTGCTTACGGATTGTTTTATGCTGATGATATTTGAGATTGAACAGATGCAGAAAGAAGTCTCCTTGGATCTTCCCTCATCTGTCTAAAAACAGACCTTTCTGAGAAATGAGGACTGCCATAAGCTTTGTCTTTGAGGTGATTTCTACTCTCAGGAGACTTAAACCTAGCAGAAATCACCTCTTTGAGGGAATTTCATGATCAGGAGGCAGAAGACTACTTACACCTGAATAAACCAATGTCACAGATCATTCAGTCTCTCATTGTTTTCTTCTAGAACCCCATTTGGGTTTTCAAAACAAACAAACCAACAAACAAAACAAAACAAAACCAAAAACCAAAGAACAAAGAACCCAAACCCTAATTTTTTTCTCCCCATAGAAGTCCTTCTCCCTCGTCTTTTCTTCAGGAGTTAGGTGTATAGGCTGTACCTTTGTACCCCCTTTGAGTTACTCATTACCAAATAGCCCTACATAGATGTGTATTGTGATGTAACTAAAAGCTACTTTCTCCTGCTGATCTGCTTGTTATTTTATTCATTTGCTTCCAGTGACTGAACACAAGAGGGTGAAGCAAAACCTTTTCATCCCTGATAATTTTAACCTGCTGTTTCCTACTATTGCATTGGCAAATTTTGATAAGCAGTTCTGAGTAAGTACACACTTGTGAGCTTTTATGCTTATACAAATTAGAATAAAACAAGTGTGAACGTTTTCCTGTTTTAACTCTTTCCATACCTGTAGTTATAGCTATAGATGAGTTTATCTACAAATTCCCTATAGATGTAAGTACAGGTATGGAAAGAGCATATTTACAAGTTCATCTACACTCTTCTTGCCGTTGCCATTCTTTGCTGCCATCAGAACCCAGATTCTGCTGTCTTCCAATTGGACTGAAAATTGTGAATCCTCCAGGCCTTCAACACGAGGTTGGAAGTCTTAAAGCATCCAGCCTTGTGAACTAAATTTACACTTATCAGGTTTTCAGGATCTCAACTGTAAAGAGAGAGATTGTTGGACTGGCCAGATGGTAGCATGTAAGCCAATCTAATAAATGCCCTTTATTCCTTCTATTATATGGATTTCATATATATATATATATATATATATATATATATATATATATATATATATATATATTTCATTCTATTACTTCTGTTCATCTAGAGAATCCGAACTAAATACAAATGTTAATAGCTAAATGTTACTTCCTTTTCCATTTCTAATTCAGCAAGCATAAATTTTTGCCCTAAGTGTGAGATTTAAACATGCTACACTTTACAAAAGCCATATTAAAAATTCAAAATATCTTTCTTATTTTTTTTTACATTGCAACTGAAGTTTTCCCTCCCTCCTTTCCTTTCGGTCCCTCCCACCCACCCCCACTCCATCCACTGCTCCTCCTCTGGTTCTCTTGGGGGATAAGGGTGGGCCTCCCATGGCTATCAGCCAGCCAGTCATGGGATATCCAGTTGCAATGAGACTAGGCACCTTTTCTTCTATTAAGCCTGGATGGGGTAATCCGGTAGGAGGAAAGGGTTCCAAAAGCAGGCAATAGAGTCCAAAAGCAGGCAATAGACAGCCCCTGCTCTCACTGTTAGGAATCCTACAAGAAGACCAAGCTACACAACTGTCACATATATGCAGAGGGCTTTGGTCGACCTCATGAAGGCTCCCTGGTTGTCGGTTCAGTCTCTATGAGCCCCTATGGGTCCAGGTGAGTTCGTAAAATTCCAAAATATCTTAAATATATTTAGATAAGACTTTCAGAAAGTAAAACTAATCTCTTAATTTAAATTTGTCTTTTTTTCTTCGTGTGTGTGTGTGTGTGTGTGTGTGTGTGTGTGTGTGTGTGTGTGTGACAGAGTCTGAGGTAGCCCAGGCTGGCATTGTCAAATTCACTATGTAGCCAAGCATGACCTTGAACTTCTGAGTTTTCTAACTTCACCTCTCAAGTGCTAGGGATTTAGGTGTTTAGTGTCATACTGGCTTAAAGTCATCTTGTTATACCTTCCTTGATGCCCTCTTGAAATACCAGATTAGTTTGTGTATGATTAATATTTTGGAAAAGTAAACACTTGCCATATTACTTTGGAATATTTATGAATGTTTTAAATGCATTCTAATTGGTATAGAGAGACAAAAATTGTACGTTTGTAGATGTATCCAACCTTCTTATTAAATAGGAAACACAGAACCAATGCAAAGAAGAAAGCCAAGAGGTCAGAGCTAAGAGCTAAAACCTTACCCTTCCTCCTGCGGTGGTCCTACCTCTCCGAACCAGAGCTACCCCTGTGTTAAAGTCTTTATATAGAGTTCCTGTCCTGCCTTCTCATTGGTTGTAAACCCAACCACATGACCACTTCCTCACGGCCTGTCTGTATAGGCCTCCAGGTTTTCCATGATTGGTATTAAGATTAAAGGCATGTGTATCCAATAATGGCTGTATCCCTGAACACACAGAGACTTACCCAGCTCTGCCTACCAAGTGCTGGAATTACAAGCGTACGCCACCACTGCCCTGCTTTCCTATGGCTTGCTAATAGCTCTGACCCCCGGGCAACTTTATTAACATACAAATAACATTTTAATACAAATAAAATATCACCATACATGTTTGTGAAGTAATGTGATGGTTTGTTGTATGTAACCTGTATGTAACATTATACAATGTATACAAAATATTAATGGCAGCTGTGATTAGATGTGGTTTGGAATACTTTACTTGCTTATATTCAAAATACAATCCTCTAAGACATGGTGGCTATTTTAGCTTCCTTTCTGTTGATGTGATAAAATATTCTGACAAAAATCAACTTAAGGGCATAAAGGATTTGTTGGGCTAAACTTTTCAGATCCTAGCCAATCACTGAGGGAAGTCAGGGCACGAATTCCAGCAGAAACTTGAATGGACAGAAAGCATGGAGGAATACTGCTTGTTGGTTTACTCAGGCTAGTGCTAAGCTACCTTTCCTTTATAGTCCGGGACTACCTGTCCGGTGAATTATGCTTCCTGAAGTGTGCTGGTCCCTTCTCCATCAATGACCCAGCAAGACAGTCTACCACAGATACAACCTTTTTGCCAATCTGATATGAACAATCCCACAATTGAAACTCCCTTCTCAGGTGACTCTAGGTTTTATCAGGTTGACAATTAAAGCTAATTAGGATAATGGCTCATGCTTATAATATCAGTATTTGGGGGGATTATGTAAGAGGATTGTCCGTAAGGTCAAGGCCAGCCTGGACTGCAAAGTGAGTCCCCACTTCAACAAAACAAAACAAAGGATGTAAATCACTTAAGCATTCCCCCCCCCCCCCACACACACACAGGGTGGAGAGTGGGGGAAGGAAGGAGGGAGGGAGAGAGAGGGGGGAAGAGAGAGAGAAACAGAGACAGAGAGACAGAAATAGAGTAGCATCTTACATATCTGCTAAAGTAAAAATTAATTCATCACTTTATCTCAAGGGGTGCCAGTGAAAAAATTTGCATATTTTCTACTTCATAAAAGAGGATGGCCATTCATTTAGCTATACTACTTTCCTCTGGAGAAACACCCCTTCCATCCTTTTCTGACAAGCAAATTGTGTCTCCCCACAATCATCTCAGACCTTCTTCTAACTTCCATTCTCTTTCTTTGTTTTATCATAATTAGCCCTTTGCTGTTCTGAAGTATTTTGTGTGTCTGCATTATATATTTTATAGGATAATTAAATTGATAAACATCTGTTTTCTCTATACATTGTAAACTTTCCCAAATGGAAATGGTGGTTTGATGTGTGTGTGTGTGTGTGTGTGTGTGTGTGTGTGTGTGTGTGTGTTTTTCAGGCAAGTGGCCATGATTTGATACACAGACATCTCTATCCACAGGACATAATCCAGCTTTATATCTTCAGTTACTTTCTGTGAGCAATGAAGAACTAAACATATAAACACCCGAATAATTGCTGTTGATAACTAGACAAGTGTTTTCAAAGCATTGCTAGACTTCCTTGAAAATAGAGCAACTCCAAATTTAATTCAGTTCTTTGTTTCAGAGTGTCAGCCACTAATGAAAGAAAAAGAAAAGCCATCTAGGAAAAAATAGATGGTTTGATGAGTCCTGTTTACTTGATCCTCGTAATGTGATGCACACCAATGTGGTGTTATGTCAGCTTACGTTTCATTAGGACTGCTTTGTTTGATTCTGTTGTTGGCTAACGCTGCGGTTCATAAATCACGCCATGTTATTGTTTCTAGGGAACATTGTAGTTACTTTCCACTAACCAAATCAATTTTGGAAAAAATAACAGCATATTCAATTTCATTTGTGACTGTATATTATGCACATTTCCGGCTGCATAAAACCGTAATAAACACTACATGAAACATTTTGATTGTGACTTGTATATGGCAAGGGTGTGTACATTAGTATTACTCAGATGGCGCTGTAATTTAGTATTACATTATGCTAGGAGAGAGGTCAGCCAGGAAGTGGTCCAGGGTCTTTTGAAAAAATCAAGTGCTCAGCCAATTTTATAAGCTGTAAGTGCTTTGCTCTTTTCCTGTGAGGATGCATCAGCTTAACAAAATAGACCTGGTTTAATTTCTTTCTCCTGGCAATTTAGCTTTCAGCCTCAGTAAATAAATAAACAAACAGTTCAGACAGCTAGATTCTCCACACCAAGAATTATGAGATGAAAAAAGAATTGGGGGTCAGTTACGGAGGCCTATTTGAAGAAAATAAACTCATGAGGAAAACTGAAACTCTCCCATTGTCCACATAGAGAATCTTAGTTAGAGGACCAACACTTAAAATTATGGCAGTGGGTGAGATGGCGAAGAGGCTTCTGTTAGTGCAATTAAGCTTCCATCCAGTTACTTTTGAATTAGACAGAGGAGAGACTATCCTGGGTGAGTCTGCTTTAAGCAGGAAAGTCTTTTAAAGAGAAACCAGGTAGACACGCTGGCATATTAGGTGGATGGCATGTATCCAAAAATTGCAAAGTAGTTGATTCTGCTCCATTCTATCATTCTTTCTAATCTTGGAAGAAAGACCAGTGCCCGGGAAAGGTAACTGTCCTGGTGAGTGCATGGATTTTAGCTAAAGAAAACGATGGTCAGAAAACCCACTTAACCCATGCCTATGCTACTAATCCAAGAAAATCACCAGATTTTTTTTTGTTAAGCTGCTAAATTTATGGCATGTTCCTATAGAATACTGTTGTACCCTCCTTGGCTCTAAGAATAATTCCCTCCTATAAATAAATGGGTAGGTTGGTAGACAAATAAATAAGAAAAGCAACAAAATACACAAGAATTATTTGAAATCTTGGTTAGGTATATTTTGACTAATAGGTGACTCTCCTCTACTTGAATAAAGAAAATAAGGATCTTTGAAAGGAACATGTATGATTTTTTTTTGTTTTCATATTTGTCTTATATTTTAAAAGGATTATATGTTCCTTTTGGAAAATTTGGAAACAAGAAGCTGGGGAGAAGTTAAGCTGTTTGCTACTCAAACATGAGGACTGGAGTTGAGGCCTCCAGAAATCCAGAGAAATGTGAGGTGGGCCTGGAGACCTGTCTTTTTAATTCCAAGTTTGGAAAGCAGAGACAAGGGATTCCACAGAGCAAGCTACCTAGCAAGACTAGCCATAGCTTCGAGATCT